GGGTACCCTTAGGTCCTCAAGCCCTACTATTCGGGGGTACCCTTAGGTCCTCCAGTCCTACTATTGGGGGATACCCTTAGGTCCTCAAGCCCTACTATTAGAGGGTACCCTTAGGTCCTCAAGCCCTACTATTCGGGGGTACCCGTAGGTCCTCCAGTCCTACTATTGGGGGATACCCTTAGGTCCTCAAGCCCTACTATTAGGGCGACCCTTAGGTCCTCAAGCTCTGCTATTAGGGGGTACTCTTAGGTCCTCCCGTCCTATTATTGGGGGTACCCTCAGGTCCTCCAGTCCTACTATTGGGGGTACCCTTAGGTCCTCAACCCCAACTATCAGGGAGTACCCTTAGGTCCTCCAGTTCTACTATTGAGGGTACGCTTAGGTCCTCCAGTCCTACTATTGGGGGTACCCTTAGGTCCTCAACCCCTACTATTAGGGGGTACCCTTAGGTCCTCCAGTTCTACTATTAGGGGGTACTCTTAGGCCCTCCAGTCCTACTATTGGGGGTACGCTTAGGTCCTCAAGCCCTACTATCGGGAGTAGCCTTGACTCCTCCAGTACTACAATTGGGGAGTACCCTTAGGTCTTCAAGCCCTACTATTAGGGGGGTACTGTTAGGTCCTCAAGCCCTACTATTCGCGGGTACCCTTAGGTCCTCCAGTCCTACTATTGGGGGCTACCCTTAGGTCCTCAAGCCCTACTATTACGGGGTACCCTTAGGTCCTCCAGTTCTACTATTGGGGGGTACCATTGGGTCCTCAAGCCGTACTATTAGAGGTACCCTTAGGTCCTCGGGTGACTTACGTTTCATCTCACTTCTTACGAACACCGGTAAATGTTACCGGGTGTTCGGAGATGATTTTTTCGTAGAAATTTATGACGGTAGTTCGTAAACACCTATGTACCGCAGGTCGTAAGAGACAGCAGGAAGATCGTAATGTGTTTACCGGGGGTTTGGAATAGAGTATTTTTTGCTGTATTTTATGTAATACCTGAAGATCGGAATGAGCACGGTCGGATGTTCGGAAAGTAATTCTCAGAGGACTTTAACATGGAGTTCGTAAAAGAATTAATCAGAAAATTGGAAGTGATATAAAGACTTTCTGTTTTTATAGACAATAATAAATCGCATTTTTGATTACTTTCATAATTATATGAGTAGGGGATTATTCTTTCTTTACCTATACTCTCTATGCTCTAGTTTTAGAAGTTGTTTCTAATATTCGTCTTTTAATCTATTCATGATACCAAGATGTGTCAACAGTCCAGGTGAAAATAAAATACACTATAAAGTAAAAAAGGACAGTGTCTACTTTCAAATATGATTGGCTACACAAGTAAGTGGCCAGTCAAGATAAATCAGACTGACCCTGCATAGAGAAGTGAAAAGTATACATTTCGAAAATATACTATGATAAAGAAGTGGGTTGGTTTTCTTTTATTGCTTATTTCTAGAAAATGATTCAAATGAATAAAATCTTTTTCCTTGTTGGAGTCTAACTTTACTTCGTCGTCCTCTTCCACATCATCTTCTCAACAATGTCTCACTGCTACAACATCGAAGAATAAACGAATAGCTAGAGTCAAGAAGCGTAGACATCCATCAAAACATGAATGAAGCGTTGATGTACATTAACACTAGAGTTATGAATAAACATGTATATCTTTTCTTTCAATAAAACTGACATTTGTAACAGAGTGTATTGAAGGAATTAGGAGAATAGTAACTAAGACTAGAATTATAATAGTGAACAGAAGCACAAGCTTGATTGCTTGAATTCATCGAAACGTTCTCTAAACATGATTTTAGGTTGCGAGACTAGCATATCACTTCAGATTCTCTCACACGTGAACAAAACTTAACATACTTACGACAATTGTGTCGTTTTTCTATTAAAACCCTCATGTCTTCGTCATTACAACCATCCGGACATTCGGATTCCGATCTTCAGCCAAATTTTCATGGTCGTAAAGAGAAAAATTTATATGGAGTTCGGAATCAATTCGGAAAATAGCTTCTTCAATGGTTATAATCGTTGAAAAAGCTATTGTAAAAATTGATTCCGAACTCCTGCACAGGCTTCATTCCGAACACCCTGTATTTTTGTTGTATTTCATTTACGAACTCCATTCCGAACACCACGACATTTTCTTCAAGTTCGGGGATCGTAAGCACACTAATTTACAAGGAGGTCGTGAAAATGGGGTGAGACTAGATGTCATTTTCCCAAGTCCTCCACTCCTACAATTGGGGTACCCTTAGGCCTTCAAACCCTACTATTAGGAGGTACCCTTGAGGCCTCCAGCACTACTATTGGGTGGTACCCGTAGGTCCTCTAGTCCTACTATTGGCGGGTATCCCAATCCTAGAACTTGAGGACCCAAGGGTACCTCCCAATAGTAGGGCTTCAGGCCGTAAGGGTACCCCCAATAGTAGGACTTGCAGACCCAAGTGTACCCCCTATAGTAGGACTTGAGGACCCAAGGGTCCGTCCCAATTGTAGTACTGGAGGTCTGAAGAGTACCCCCTAATAGTAGCCCTTGAGGACCTAAGGGTCCCACGAACAGTAGGACTGGAGGATCAAAGGGTACCCCCTAATAGTAGGGCTTGAGGACCTAAACGTATCCCCAATAGTAGGACTGGAGAACCTAAGGGTATCCCCTAATAGTAGGGTTTGACGACCCAAGGGTACCCCTAATAGTAGGAGTGGAGGACCTAAGGGTACCCCCAATAGTAGGACTTGAGGACCTAAGGGTACCCCAATAGTAGGACTGGAGGACCTAAGGGTACCCCCGAATATAAGGCCTTGAGAACCCAAGGATACCCAACAATAGTGGGGCTTGAGGACTGAAGGGTACCCCCGAATGGCAGGGCTTGAGCACCTAAAGGTACCCCCAATAGAAGGGCATGAGGACCTAAGGGTACCCCTAATAGTAGGACTGGAGGACCTAAGGGTACCCCCTAATAGTAGGGCTTGAGAACCCAAGGGTACCCCCCCCCCCCCAATAGTGGGGCTTGAGGACTCAAGGGTACCCCCTAATAGTAGGGCTTGAGGACCTAAGGGTATCCTCCAATAGTAGGGCTTGAGGACCTAAAGGTACCCCCTAATCGTAGGGCTTGAGGACCTAAGGGTACCCCCTAATAGTAGGGCTTGAGGACCTAAGGGTACCCCCTAATAGTAGG